TTTGACAAGCAAAAGTGAATATAATAATTATATTTTTTAATACAATTAAACAAATCCACAACTTTAACGTGGCTAACAACAAATTACAGATTCAAAAACCTATAAACTGATTTGAGAAGATTTTGAACAAATAACTTTTCTTACTATACACAGATGAGGCATTTACAAAATACTGCCTTTTTTTCATCACTCATTCTTGAGAACCGATTACCAGTTGATTGTCATGCTGTACTGTCAAATGAGCCAAAGTTTATCATGAAACCTGCTTGAGAGCCCAGTTATTTCTTCATTGAAGCTCGAGGCTAAGCTACTCCTTTCTTTTTGCCTAGTTTCATCTTATTATTTAGTATTACTAAGAGATTATATTTTTTTGGTGGCCGGCAAAGCAAGCAACAGTAAAATTGACTTTCTTTTGTAGTCGCAGGAAATCCTACGGTGCTTCACTCTTGGATTAGCTAGAAGCACTTCCCATGCCCAGCTTTTGCCTTTGTGCGTTGATCGAAAGGAATCGAATTAAATGGATTCTACAACATCAGATCCTAGTGGAAGCTAGTACTGAACTAATAATCATTAAAATTAATCCCGGAAGTGCTGTTCTTGTAGCAACACCGAATGCTGGTCCTCTCCAAACCGCACTTGTGAGATGCACTGGTTTGCAGGCATTTCGTGCCGGAATGTATCCGAGCTGACACACGCAGCTATAAGAACCTTCCAAATTGACACACTCCGAGTGATCTATAATGAATACACTTAAAATTTAAATGAAAAAAAAATTTAGGGCAACTTCCGTAATGACTAATATGTTAAGGGATCTTTTTTGAGATTTTTGATGATTTAAACGCATAAAGAATGAATTTTGCCACCTCCATGCGTCTCGGCGCAATCGACGTACAAGCACTCATTGACATCCACACATTGTTTCACATCGAATCTATAAAATTACTTCCTGTAAGAATTTAAGAAATTCCTGACTTCACACGCTAATACCCTCAAAATTTCTTTCCTGAGTATGAAGCAAAAGATAAAATCATATAAAAAATATTTAAAATTAAGCATGCTTTGCAACTGCTGCTTAAAAGTCGTGCTACTAAAAAGTAGCGCCATCGAAAATTGCTTGCTATTTTTTTATATCGCACCACATAATTCCATTTTGTTTATTCCATTTATTCGCATTTTCTTAAGCAATTTAATAAGATTTGATTGAATATTTGTATGAATATTGGAAGTGTGCCAAATTTTAAGCTTCTCTTGTAAAAAGACAAATTATGCGCCGGCAATATTCGTGTACCTTTCAAAGCCGGCAGACGAAAACACTACTGGTCCAAACAAAAGTTTGCAAAATTCACGGTAAATTGCGATTCTTTTCGGGTGGATCGAATTCGTACAGGTTCTCAAAAATTTGAAGACCCGATGATTTGCGACTTGAATGGTTCGGACAAAGTTTAACAGTCAGAGTAGTGCTTTGGGTAGTTTGCAAATTAAATATTAGTGGATCAAGAAAATATTTATTTCTGCACAGCTTGCCCTATAGTGCGCATACCTGTAAACATAGCCTGATTTGGGACAGCTGCAAGACACATTCCACTGGTTTTTGTACATCCCACCAAGATCTTCATTATATTCGGACTTCATCATACAATTACCTTTTCCAGGACAGGGCGAAGGATTACAATTGTCAACGCAAAAACTGCAATTGGCAATAGCAAGCTTCAGTTAGCATCATGCACATAATCAAATAAAATTTTGAAACTTAAAAAAAATGAGTTTTGTGCCTAGTCAGACTCGGTTTTTTGCAAATTCCAGAGCAATGTTTACAAACCAGTTTTCGAAATCACTTAATTCTTCCGATGCACTGCACATAAAGAAATGTGAAAAAATCCAACAAAAATTACACCACCTGGATTTTGCGCATCGAAATGGCTCAACATCAAATGAGCCTAATGGCACATGAAGAACTTTATTCAGAACGAGCTTTTTTGCAAGCTCTCGTGCAGGCCACTAAAAGTAAAACTTAAAAAATTTGACTGCATTAATTTGTGAGCGTCCCGGGAAAGGTGCTACGATTTACAGGTAGATATTTTTATCCTTGAAAAGGATTAAGATTCTGATGAAGATGAAGTATGCATAAATTAGCAGAAGATTTCGGGGGCAGAAAAGATTGGCGTTTTTGCAGTCGGCATATAACTGTACAGCAGTTAAATCAAGAACATCAAACCGATAAGTTGGGGTGAAATTGTATCATCGGTGGATAAAAATCAAAGCCAACAGGAAAGTGAGGTAATCAAAAATGTAAAGTGGATGCCTGTTTTTAAGATCCAATGATTTAGTGATTAAATAAAGAGGTAAAAAGTTTGTAGAAGAGACAAGTGAGTCGGTCAAATCGAACAATCATACGATAATTGCTAAATAATTTTAAAATGCAATAATTTCGTTCGAAAAATGTATTTTGAGAACTAAACTGAGCAGGAATTTGGTCCTAGGCTCCTGATAACAAAAAATGTCTGAAAGAAATTACTCGCAAAAAAAAAATAAAACTCACATAATATATCTTTTCCTCTTTAGATGTCTGTTCTTCCTAAAAACTGAAAATTTAAAGAAAAATTTTTTACACTTTAAATTTGGAAAAAGTCTTCCAGTTTGTATTTATCAAAAAAAAAAAAACAATAATTTGCATCATAAACCATTTGTACTATTAAGTTAGCAAAGACTTTAAAACCATTTCTGCGCATACTAAGAAGTGAAATGAAAAACGTGAACTTAAATATGGTGGTTGCTCCCAAGCACTGAAAAATCCAGCCCAAGTATTATGATATGGGAGTGGCAAATAAATGGCATGAGGGGGTGAGCATTCAGATCTCTGACTTAGCTTTGATTTGGTATCACACTCAGCTTAGCCAGTATTGTTAATTCTTGTGAATGCTACAGAAAAAATTCATCTTGAAATGTAAAGGTAGAATTTGCTTTCTCGCTCATCAGCTCAGTTACAACTAAGAGTCAAAACCCTCTCCGCATACGCTTCAAGTGAAAGGCTGAGAATTGGCGGGTTTGACTCTTTGACATATGCCAGTACCAATTTACCATCGAAACAAATGAGCGAATCATGGCATTGGCCGCCCAAAGTGGAGTTAAATCTCTACCTACAATATAACAACGGTGTTATTTCCCACTATGTGTTGATCACTGGTCAACTGAGTATTGACAAGTTTTCATACTTAACATACTTATTAACATGTTTTCATAGTTCTTCCCCGTGAGTTAAAGCATCGAAAAAATGAATGTATTCAAAATTAAATTTAACAGAAATACAATTCGCAGAAAACGGCAGGCATGGTGCTGTGGTATCGGCCGGCGACACCGTTATTGCCCTGAAGGTTGAAAGTCTGAATAGGTCGGCTAAGTAACCAATCCCTCTACGATTCGTTCATTCGCTCTGGTGTTTTTAAATTACTACCCACGTATAAGCCACAGCCTCAGACCGCAGCCCCAGGGTGTAAAAGCCACAGCTAACATTTCAAGGCAATTTTTAAATGAAGAATCATCAGCGGCTTTTTCGGCTAGTGGTTGCTGTTGTTGGCAGACCAATGTACTTCTGAGTGCATTCGCTTTCTATATAAAGAGAACAAGACAGAAAAGGGCGAGGAAGGGGGATGAGATTTAACTTTATCCTTTTGACGACCCGCAAAATAGCTAACAGTGAATGTAGACATTGGTTGAATATCACAAAATGGCAGCTTTTCCAGTAAGCTAATACTGTTCATCGTCATCCAGCACATCAAATATATTGTGGAGAAATCCGCATCGAACATTTCCTGATGAACCAGTCGACGAACTTCGCTTTTCCTTGAATGGTATTTTTTTCGGGTTGTCGGCTTTCACTGGTACAAGTTGTATGTAATTTTCATGGTTCAAAAGTTAAGGCAGAAAAGTTGATTCTTTTTTGGTCACCACTTGCCCTACTTATCCTACTTAGTGCTGCCAGATTAAATAAAGAAAACAAACATCTTCGATCAAATTTCCTTCAAAAAAGAAAAAAGAATTTTGTCAGCGACTGCAGCTGCTGCTGTAAAAGGAGCTTCAAGTAAACTAAACACAAGTGCCCTCCTAGAAATTGGAGAGAGCTGGTTTTGAACCCTAACAATTACGTATGTTTTTCGATTTCACAAGCAAAACGTTGTTTAGTTCATTAGATGCTAAAAATATGGTCAGTCTTTGTGTTAGCTACAGTTCGAGCAGAAACCTTATTGGGAATTCATCGTAGATATCAGAAGTGAAGAGAAATGTGTTGCGTGTTTTGAGATCCTTCCAAATTGTGTCGATGCATTTCTGGAAGAAAAACTTATCTGGAAGGAAAGTTATTCAACAGTGAAGCCTAAAAAAATCTTACTCATACGTTTTTACAGTCAGTTGTTGCACACAGAAATACCTTTCATTTGGTCTCGATGGTTTCTGGCTTAATTGCGAGATCAAAATATGCACCTTAGTCGAAGATGAACACTGAAATATTCGCTGCAAGCCGCTGCTTGGCATGATGCTAAATCCTGAGGCCAAATCACTGATGCCATATGCAGTGAGAGGTAGAGGGAAATGAAATCCGTTTCTTAATTCGTAGATATTGTGCATGAACCTTCTTTACGGATTTTTATTTTTGTACTTTTGTTGATAGTAAATGCAGCTACAACTTACTATGAAACTCTTGTTGCAGGCTTCGTACAAGTCATCTGAAAAATTGATGTCCGGAAAGGTATACATGAAGCCGCTTTGTGATGTCGATGGCTGCATTATCCACATCCGATAAATCCGAGCGTAAAATGCTAACTGACCAATGATTCCCAAATAGTAAATCCTTCTGGTCGTGTTTAGCGATGATATTTCTCTGTAAGTTAAAAAGACAAGGATTCTTCACATTTTATAAGTCACTGAGAAGTAGAAAGTGGTCGCCAAAGAAACAGATTCATAGCTTTAAATGGTGTGATCAATGATCAACTTTTTTCCACAGTTTTATGCACTGTCTGTTTTGGGCTTCCATCATCCACATAATTCTCTACTGCAAAGTTCAAGGAGTACCACCACTGAATTGGCCACCTTATCTGCATCTTTTAAAAGGTAGAAATAGCTGCGCCAATGGCGAGAAGAAACACGATGATGAAACAGCAACTGATTAATGGTTTCAAGTATGCAACACACTCGTTACACACCATATACGCGAACAGTATACACCACCTTTCGTACTTTTCAACCAATTTTCCATTGAATTCATTCAAATAAGACTTCTCTTCAGTTTGTGCACCATTCACCAAGAAAAATGAAAGCACAAAGAAAAGAATCGACCGCACTAGGCGCGTCATTTGGCACAACTGAATAAGGTTTCGCTAGCACGGAAAAGACCTAGAGATGTTAAGCAAGCTGAGGAAAGATACAGGGGTGAGGAACTAGAAAGGGGGGGGGGGGCGGTGCTACTATATGTAAATCTCCTGCATGTTATTTTTTGCTCTAAAATATTTTTACGCGTTTTTGCACATTTGTGCAAATGCACTGAATTTTGAGCGAAGGCTGCCAGGCGGCCTGTGCTGTGATACAGAAGCACCGTAAATAGCAGAAACAACCGGACTGAAGAAATGCGCTTTGAATTTTGATGTGGTTAAGTACGTTTGCCCAGTTGCATGATGTTGAAAGCAGGAAATTCGACTGCTCCGCTTTCCGGAAGATTAAAGCCTGCGAGTCGCTGAATGCAGAAAAAAAAGGCCTACAGCTGGAGTAGAGAAATCGTCCACCTTCATCAACGACAAGGAGTCGTAAAGCGGGACTTAGATGAAGCCATGTGCGGAACTGGCACAGGCGGATCCAGGACAGACTTCTACGAGGGGAGAGAGGGCGGGGGTGGGGCACGGGAGGTGGGGAAGAGTGCGGCTTCTGGGGGGAGGAGAAGAGATGAGGGGTGGGGAGTGGCTCGTCTAACCGGGAACTATGCAGAAACTAGAATAGAGTTGCAACACTGCTACTT